GCGCTGAGGGACCACCCCCTGCCCCCCTGGCGCACCCCCAATGGTTTCGAGAAAACGCCACGCCTGCGATGCCCTGACGACCGTCGTGCATAGCGGCCGCGCTGACGGACCACCCCCTGCGCACCCCCTATGGTGTCGAGAAAGTACCACCCCTGCTATGCCCTGGACGACCGTCGTGCATAGCGGCCGCGGCGAGGGACCACCCCCTGCGCACCCCCTATGGTGTCGAGAAAGTGCCACGTCTGCTATGCCCTGGACGACCGTCTCGATAGCGTCCAGCAGCTGAGTACCACCACCCTGCGCACCCCCCCTATGTGTCGGAACTGCCACGCTTTGCTATTCCCTGGACGACCGCGTGCTCGCGGCCGCGCTAGGGACTGCCCCCTGCGCACCTCCTATGGTGGTCGAGAGAAAATGCAACGTCTGATATGCCCTGGACGACCGTCGGGCATAGCGGCCGCGCTGAGGGACCAACCCCTGCGCACCCTCCATGGTGTCGAGAAAGTGCCACGCCTGCTATGCCCTGGACGACCGTCGTGCAGTGCGGCCGCGCTGAGGGACCACACCCTGCGCACCTCCTATGGTGTCGAGAAGTGCCACGCCTGCTATGCGCTGGACGACCATCGTGCATAGCGGCCGCGCTGAGGGACCACCCCCTGCGCACCCCCCATGGTGTCGAGAAAATGCCACGCCTGCTATGCCCTGGACGACCGTCGTGTATAGCGGCCGCGCTGAGGGACCACCCCCTGCGCCACCACCCGAATGTGTTCGACGAGAAATTCCCACCCTGCTATGCCTGGACGACCGTCGTGCAATAGCGACCCGCGGCGCGCTGGCGGACCCACCACCCACCCCCCCGCACACCCCTACGGTTCGAAAAAATGCCACGCCCTGCTATGGCCCGTGGAAACGACGTCGTGCATACGACCGTGAGGTGGCGCCGAACCGGACACGGACCACCCCCTGCGCACGCCCTATGGTGTCGAGAAAACGCCACGCCTGCTATGCCCTGGACGACCGTCGTGCATAGCGGCCGCGGTGAGGGACCACCCCTTGCGCACCCCATATGGTGTCGAGAAAATGCCACGCCTGCTATGCACTGGACGACCGTCGTGCATAGCGGCCGCGCTGACGGACCACCCCCTGCGCACCCCCTTATGGTGTCGAGAAAGTGCCACGCCTGCTGTGCCCTGCACGACCGTCGTGCATAGCGGCCGCGGTGAGGGACCACCCCCTGCGCACCCCCTATGGTGTCGAGAGAATGCCACGCCTGCTATGCCCTGGAGCTGAGCTGTGCTGTGCTGTGCTGTGCTGCGCTGTGCCGAGCTGAGCTGTGCTGTGCTGTGCCGAGCTGTGCTGTGCTGAGCTGTGCTGAGCTGAGCTGAGCTGAGCTGAGCTGAGCTGTGCTGTGTTGTGCTGAGCTGAGCTGAGCTGTGCTGAGCTGTGCTGAGCAGTGCTGTGCTGTGCTGTGCTGAGCAGTGCTATAAGGAGGAGGGGAAGAGGGAGGTGAGTGAGTGAACGCGGGTGGGACGCGGCAGAGAAGAAAACCATAACCCCACTGAGCATGTGGGGATCAATACATCACCGTCATCACCGTGATCCTCATCAACAGTAACATCGTCGCCATAACCATCATCATGAGCAGCAACAGCATCAGCTTCAGCACCAGCACCATGATGATCATCATCATCATCATCATCATCATCATCATCATCATCATCATCATCATCATCATCATCATCATCATCATCATCATCATCATCATCATCGTCATCAGCAGCAGCAGCACCACCAGCAGCACCAGCAGTAGCATCAGCATCATCAGCAGCATCATCATCACCATCATCATCATCATCATCATCACCAGCATCAGCATCAGCATTAATCAGCACATCAATCCTCTCACCATCAGCGTCAATCACCATGATCATCGCTACCACACACCACGCTTCTCAACCCCCATCATCATCATCATCATCATCATCATCATCATCATCATCATCATCATCATCATCATCATCATCATCATCATCATCATCATCATCATCATCATCATCATCACCGACACCATCGTCAGAATCATCCTCCTCCTCCTCATCACCACCATCACCATCACCCCGAAACACCATCATCGTCATGCTCCTCTTCCTCACGCAGCGCCGTCCGCCTCCGAAAAGGCCAGCGGGCGGAGGGCGTAAAGCACTCTCGCACGCGGCTTCGGGCGACCCGGTGGTGCTGAGGTCCGTCTTCGGCCATCGCGTGCGGCGCGCGCGTCCGAGGCCGGGAAGCGGCCGGGCGTCTCCTCGGCCGTACGGTAGGGCATGGGAAGAACAGGGCGGTGAATCTTGAGGGGCTTCGCAAACTTGTAGAACATCTCCTCGTAGTCGTCGAAGGTCATCTCGCCTCGCGCGGCAGAGGCGCTGGCAACTGGTCGGGCCTGCGTCCCCCTCGCGGGGCATCCGTTGTGCAACTCGCATGCCCTGCTATGTCTCTGTCATCG